ATTACAATTTCAAATTATTTCTGTACAAAGAACTATTCATTCTTTTAATTCGTACCACAATTTAAAAATATATAATTTCAAACAAAATGATAAGTACCATTCTCGATGCACATATTGAAGTTCTCGGGGTACAAATTAGATTTAAATGAAGGAAATGTAGAATTTAATATTTCATTGTTTCCAAGTATTAAAAACTCCCTTTCTCGTCGAAATATCGCAAAGCATTCACCGCGCGTCGTATATTAAAACTCCGAAAACCTACATTACGTTCTACCTACGTCGACGAAGAATCGCAGGTTCGACATAGCTCGTAAATAAAAGAATTTTCAATCCTCCCTGATCCCTTCCGCGTATCACAGTTTCCACTTTTCCGTCTGATTTTTGTATCCCTTCCAGGGCGAGGTCGGGCCGCGAGATTCATGGTACTTCTTCGAAAAACTTTTACGAGGTTCGATGAAACGAATGGCCGATGATATTTTTCATGGTTGTTTCAACCTTTACGGTTAGATCGATGTCGGCAACAGCGACGCGCAAGAAATACGATAGAAGATAATCGACGAAGAAGAAATAGGCCGTCGACGTCCAGATACGTCAGTGTCAGTCGTGTTATCGCGTTTTACACGTGTTTCTTACGATACTGTCGCCATTAACAAAGATAGCTCCGCTCTTTCAGAGATTCCGTTCGCCCGACAACAGTTTCGTATAAGAAAAAAGTTTCTAAATGTTCCATTGATGTTGTTTCGTTTCGACTATCTACTTTTCTGGTAAACATTTTTCTCGTTTGCCCGATTAGCAACTCCGCGAGGTCAATAACTTTACAGAATATCCCGGACTTAGTTAAAAATACATACGATTGAACGAGCTATTTCTGGTTTATTTGTTAGAGTGTACTGATTGCTGTACGCGGTGCAATTACTCGTCTATTATTCATTCTCTGCTCCTGCATGGAACTTTTTTTCAATTGTTTGCCGACACGTTATGGCTTACCATGCGTGCGTAGTTTTTAGTCCGTTTATTAATAAATTAGTTATGCATCTGAAAGACCGTATTTCGATCCTTCCTGCGCCAATATTATTTATTCAAACAGTCTAATAGCTTCAGAAGTACATTTAAAGAGAGGACGTTCCATTTTGTTTTAAGGTTTTTGATTTACATTTCGTAGCTTCCAAACAGAAATATTGAACGGGTTATGATTTCATCAATAGAGAAATGATTGTTCCTTCAGAAATGTTAAAAATCTACAACGAAGAAGCAATTTTTGTAAGTCTTGACTACTTGGGGAACAGTCGAATCGAATCGTGAACCCGATCTTCGAGATGCTGTGACACCGCGCGAACTTTTTGTTAACCAAACTTTTCAAATGCTCACCACGAAACAGTAGATTTCTATCATCGATGACGCGAGATTTTTCATCCGTCCAGACGGCCGCGTTTAAAAGCACTTTACATCCACGGCGTTCGCGTGAGTTATAGGCCACCTTCAATTCCGTCCGCATTACTCGACGAAAGCGTCCCTCTCTTTCCTTTATTTATCGTCGCTGACTATGAAATATTACTTGTGTCTTCGCGGCAGAAGGAATATTCACACCGAGGGCGGAATAAAAACGAGAATCGCCGGGAACGGGCTGTCGATAGGTTTTCAAAGTTGTCGCGAGAAAATCTGTTAGGGTCGACCATTAATTTTATAACCGAAAAAGAGTTATATCTGGCAACCTTTTCTTAACGATACGAAATAAAAAACAGGTTGAACGATCTAACTTTACCATCTTTAAACAGCTTTCAATTCAATTATTATGTAAAATATTTTCATACAAAAGTTACATCGTACCAAGAGGGACATATGATGTATGAAATTTTCTTTACCTCCCTGGGATCACTAAACCACGACTTTTTATTGAGGAACTAAGAAAATTCTCAAGATAAGATGTTGAAGAAAATAGATTCAGACAAGACTTTTGAATTTTGACGAAGTTATACAAATAAGTACTGAGAGAAATTTCAGTGTAATATTGACATGTACGTTTTATACAATGTTTGTTAGTTTCTTCGAAAGGGGTGGATCTTAGAGAATACATAAATAAAAGAAACTAAACTACGAGCAATATAAAATTTTTGTCTGTGGCTTGGGAAATCTCAGGACGTAGGAAGATGGCGATGCAGGAAGGACCAACGCGACAATGTCTGATCACGAGGGTCGTCTGACGACGACCCTGAAAAGACCTCCGCCTCATTCGACCAGTGAATATTGCAGCAGCTATTAGAGACTGAGGCATCCCCACTTTTTATGCGTTTGTTAATTTTTCAAATGCATTGCCACCCACGATCCTCCGTGCATTTGTTGCGGAGACTTCTATGCCACACGCTTCAACGATCCCCGTTTCGGCCACCTTTTATTTTGTCCGTCTATGCTTTGTCTCTTCGGTCGAGGGTGGAACGCATCACGCAGGGTCTTGTTTATAAATATAATTTCACCCTCGGCTGGGGTTAATCATCGTGAACGGGGGGTTACTCACTTGCTTATCGAGGGTGAAATTGGTTTCTTGCGCTCGTTACTTTGTCTTCAACGGTGATCCCTAAAGGCGTGGGAGAGCTATTCGCCTGTCGCCATCAATATTTCGACACGCGTTTCAGAAGTAATCAGACAAGTTTCCCAAAAATATTGTAAATTCATATATTTATATTATAAAATTAAAAGTATGAAAGTGAAGCTATTATCCTATATTTGATGCGTTAATTCAACATAAAGGATATCTGAAACGTTCTATTTATCAATTTTTCATTTTCTAAGACGACATGAAACGTTTAGAACTAGTGCTATATTTTCTATTATAGAAAATAAAATGGGTAGGTTCATTAGGGGTTAAAAATTCACAAGTAGCTTTAAAGTACACATATAATACTAGAACGCAATTACCTAGTATTGTGTAAAATCTCCTTTTTTGTTTTTTTTTCTTTAATATTTTTGACAAGTTTTGCTCCATATCCTTCTTATATATAGGTAACGTAAAAAAGAAGTGATGAAAAAAGAAATTAAAATCCATTTAATGTCTCTAAATTAATTTTCTTTTATCTTCTACTGTTCTAACGCTATGGTTTGATTCAGTTACGTGGGAAACCCAGTTCAGAAACTTTCATAGTCGTTCGACCGCAGGGTACCAAAGAATGCTAATGGTCACAGTCGAAGGGCTTTGCAAACACTTTTATCGAGGCAAATAAAGTATGAAATAAAGATAAAATGGCGAATGTTCTGGAACGGGGATAGTCTGAGATCTGCAGTGGGAATCATGAGCGGTGCCAAGGAAATGAATTACAGTCAGTAACCGCGGAGAAAGAGCGGATCGGGCTCGGTGGAGGGTGACTGCGGAGGAGTGTGAGAGACAAACGAACAGAAACGACTCCCCTGGGGAATCTGAAGGGAAAGGAAGTTCGTTTCTCCTGGTTCTGGATCGAGATCCCAAGTCTGCGTCGTGCAACAGGAGATTAGAGCTCAAGCTTACTAGGAAATGTATATACTTCCTGTGTATCTCCTTCTGTTCTTCCTGCGGGAATAACGGTATGGCTGATTTTATGGTGCTTCACCGTAGCACGTTCTGATATGTAATGTAGAAATTGAAAAGTTTATGCGGACTCAGTCGCTGTGAAACGAGATGCTCTGCCGCTCGTTTCAATTGTTTGTTAAGTTATCTTCCCGTGTATTCTAAGCCTCAGACTACTCGAATAATTTGATCCTCGAATATTTCATAAGTATACGAGTATTATAAATAAATTTTTAATAAGAAAACGAAAGTGAGATATTTATGTTGATAGAAGAGGAAGGCTACTGTAATTTTTGTTTTTCTATTTTATATCATTTTCTATCGAAACGTTCTTCCGTGACGACCAAAATTAATTCTGATCGTGACATATAAATGACAAGTACGATTGGATAAATTCACAGTCGTTAAGAAAAATATTTATGTACAGTAGACAGTCACGTTACATTATTCACAAATATGAGTAATAGATGTTTTACAACAACGCGAACATTGTCAACAGAAACCTTATAAAAAGTATGAAAGCCATGTTATTAATGTTTTCGAAATATGTTATCAGTTGCAGTACCTTCATTTGCATAACTGGCAACGAGTCGCTTGTAACTTACCTGAGTGTGAATATATTATGGACAACTCGTATTGAACTAGCAGAAAATTTACTTTACGGATCATTCAACACCAAATCCGACCATTTTTTGCGTTCGATATCAAGGATTTTAGTGAAATTAAAATACGCCGTAGTGCACGTAAAATTAGAACGATGGAATCCAAACTAGCAGGTTTCATGGCAGTTTCAATGGTGCCATTTATAACTTCCAGAAAGTTTCACCGACCGCCTCTATTTTAATTTAAATAACGTATATACAGGGAATTTTCAATTACAAGTACAATAATAAATAAGCTTTTACAAAGTGATACTTGTAAAAAATTATTACTTGCAAGTTAGTAGACAGCGATACTGTGGATTTGGTAATAATTATTATATTAATAAATGTAACACGTACGAGTATTAAATATTAATTCTAGATGAAAATCTTTGAATAACCTTACTTCTCAAATGAAAAGTGATGTGTATTGTTAAAATTTTATTGATTAAAATGATACTTTTATCAAAATAAATCATAATGATGCACAGCACTCAAAAACACGTAATTGTTGTGACATTTTTCTAAACTGCAGCGTAACTTCGTTCTCGAATTTCATCGACATTTAGATTAGCACAATAACTTATCTCGTTGTGGCAGCACAATACATGTCAGACTATAATGAAATATTTCGACACAACGGTATAAAAGGATATATATTGAATAATTCATAGCAACTACCAGTACATCGTATATTATTTCAGGACAGAAGACAATTTAGTAGATAGTATTACATACATTACCATTTAAAATTAAAACCAAGTAATTATATCGACTCGAAACGTGACTAATAGTAGTATTTAAACCGATATAAGAAGAGTAACAATGGCTTTCGCGTCGTGCATTCTTGCTCTATTCAAAGATGAAGTTCTTACTCTTTATGGTTATTGCCACATTCGTGCTGGCAGTAAAATGTCAAAATTTGACGGAAGTCGTACAAACAAATAAAGGACCCGTTCAAGGACTCACATTGACCACCGTGTATCACCAAAAAGCGTATTCTGCTTTCTTTGGGATTCCCTTTGCAAAACCACCTGTAGGCGACCTGAGATTTCAGGTAAGACATGCTTGTGATTTACTTGAAACAACATTTTAGTATTATTAATTATTTTATTTGTTAACTGTAGGCACCTGTTGAACCAAATTCCTGGTCGGAGGTGTTAAATGCAACACGGGAAAGTCCAGCGTGCCTACAAGCACGACCACCTAAATATGTAGTTGAAGGAAACGAAGACTGTCTATACCTGAACGTGTACACTCCTCTGGTAAGCATTTTGAATACAAAAAGACAAATACACAGTGAGCACGAACAATGAAAGTTTCATTTGTTCATTCTGAAATATTTCATTTTATAACACGAACTGTAATTTTTATTCTAAAAGAAACTCAAAATCTTTGTTATTCATTAGTTATACGATATTTCCATTTGAATAAACATTTTTCCCATCTTCGAATACAATATTCGCCACAACATTTACGATTTTCTCGTCATAGTTCGCGTTCGTTAAAGTATCAAATTATATGCGTAGAGGCATTACCGACGCCTCGTGCGATATTGCAACGTCGTCTATTGGTAGACGCATCACTTTGTCTCACAGCCACGGTGCTAATAAATAAGACTGCCATGCAAGCAGAGATGAATGATGGCATGATCTCTCACCCCTGGCGCGCTAATATAATAGATACGGTACAGATCTTTTAAGATTTATTACATCGTAAACGTGCTTTTTTCTCGAATTTTTTAATAGCTGCATTTCACAAACATTAAGCCACTAAAACCGGTACTGGTTTGGGTATATGGCGGTGCATTCGAAGGGGGAAGTACTGCTAAGAGTGTATATGGACCTGATAGGTTCCTGGAGGAAGACGTAATCATGGTCGACATGAACTACCGTGTCAATGCTTTAGGTATCGATAGAATTCTCTACTGCTATACAATGATTATCAATTCAGAGAGAAACAATTTCTCATCAAATTTTACAGGATTTCTGTCATTGGGGATTCCTGGTGCAACAGGAAATCAAGGTTTGAAGGATCAGAATCTGGCTATGCGATGGGTGCAAAAGAACATCGCCAAGTTCGGTGGTGATCCTAAACGTGTAACTATAATGGGTCAGAGTGCTGGTGGTGTGTCGATAACGTATCACATCATATCGCCTAAATCACGAGGTGAGGATGTTCATCAAATTTTTATTAAGTCACAGTTAGCGAACATGTTTAATCTGTCTGCTCAGCTATCAGCTAATGCCGAATCGTTTCAATCAGGTTTGTTCCAAAGAGCCATAGTTCAAAGTGGTTCAGTTTTGTCCGCCTGGGGATACAAGCCACCAAACGCTGCTCGATGGTCTGCTTATGAGTTGGCTAAACGTTTGAACATTACTGTCAAGAGTGACTCTGATCTGCTAGCCTCTTTGAAAGTAGCTGATCTCGGGTCTCTTGTAAAGGCAGTTGGGACTATGAGCAATAGCGAACTACCGGTATGATTGCAACAACTATTTTTGGAGACTTTATTTTATGCAACAGGCTCAAAAGTAGCCTTCCAGAAATTTTGAGATCCACCGACTTTGTTGATCTGTCATTTTTGCATCGATCAAAAGTACAACATTTCAAGAATATGCTTAAAAAAGAACACTGATGTTAAGGTGGAGATGATGGTGTGGTCCAGCACCAGTCTGTTTCTTCCAAACACGTTGAAGATCACTTATTACTAATCAACAGAGACCTGAGAACAGTTGTCTAGATAGGGCTGGCATTAAACAAATACTATTTCGAAGTATTATCAGAATAAAATCGTGTCGATTTTCCTGTTAAAGATTCCTCTGAGAATAGCATTCGTGCCTACGTCTGAAAGTGGAAACGATGCCTTCATAAGTGACTGTCCAATATCGTACTTTGAATCTGGGAACTTCAATCACGTGCCTACGATGCTTGGTTACACAGCGGAAGAGACAATTTTGTTCGCAACAGGTAATGATAAATATGTATACACGATTACTGTATGTCAACAGAATAAAGTATTTTCAGAACTATGAATGAAAGTTTGAAACGTAGATAAATATTATAGAAAATCAGGTGTGGATGTTTTATTCATTTTAATATTCAATTAAGCATTTTTACTTCCTTCTTATGGTAACTAATAAGTGTTATCATTTTTTTACGTTCAACAGGATTAGATAATGTACGTTACGATGTGCAACAGAAGTTACTGAGTCTTACTAAGGTACTAGATCCGACAGGCCACAATAATCTCGCCATAAACGTGGTTAACTCTATTTTGAACGACACTGTATGGGAGATCATAAAGGTATTTCAATTATTTTTTTGAATTTTATTTGAAAGTTTTTGCTTAAAATTCACTATGTTTCTTATTAATTTCAGGCCTCATCTATATACGCCTTCTCTGGGCCAGTTGATCTCACGCAAAGGTATTTGGTCAAGCACAATGGTAATAAACCAGTTTATTTCTATCGACTGTCGTACCGTTCGAATGAGAATTTCCACTTCAAAATTAATCCTCACATAAACGGTGACTATTATATTATATTATATATTATTGTATGATTACTTTCATAATATTATTTCTACCGAAGCTTTTAAAATTTTAGCCTAAAATTATTTTCGAAGTTTTATCATTCTTCCTCAATAATTATGTATGCATAAAACCGCGGTAGAAATAATGTTAAAAAATTCAATATCTTTTCACTTATTTGTAGTGCCACATATCCTAGGTAGTTTATGAAAATTTTGATATCCACCGTTTTAGGTACATCTCATGGCGACGATCAACCTTTCTTATTCCACATGGAGAACCTTCCCACCGATCCAAACAATCAGTTCAATCGATACTCCAAGCGGGTAGTTTCGATGTGGGCAAACTTCATAAAGAGTGGGTAAGCGAATGTGAAATTTATCGACGATTCAAGAGCAATATTTACTGCATTGGAAAACTATCAATCAATAGATAATCTATTCGTCAAAATGTGTTTGCGTAATAGGACATTTCCGATGACACGAATACAATATCAAAAATACAAAAATTAGAAATAAGGCTGTGACCGATTTATAGAAAGTTTTCTATCATTTTTCAATTTTATTGCAAGCATTTTAAATTTGTAGCTAAGAATAGTATAATCTGTTGTCGTGTTATTTTTTTTTTTGTTAAATCATTTCGTTTTATAAATGTTTACTTGTTATTCCCAAAATCTAACATTACATTATGTTTGCAGCAATCCTACTCCGCCTAATTCCAACGTGAGTGGTGGACGCTGGACAACGTCAGGAAATCAGGGATTACAGCTCGATATAGGAAACGGCAAATTTGTAATGAAAAATCGTTTTATCGTTTCACGGGATGCAACGATTTTAAAGGCTTATTACAATGGATTACCTGTTACATCTGAGTGTAAGAATTATCCTTTCGGCAATCGCAGTCTGTTCTAACAGCAACAAGCAGTCAACAAAGGCTCGCTTAATTCCAAAGAGCAAGTCACAACTCTATGTGAAAGTATTTATGCATTCCATAAATATTGCAAGTAGCTCCATTATAAAGTTCTGTGATATACTAACAGAGGTATTATGGACCCTACTGGCTTTTATAGCGAAATATAAAACACTTGGATGCGTCTTATCTGAAAAGTCCTCTACGAATAACAATTGTACGTTTAAAAAAGAAATCTCAAGCGCTTTTGTACTTCTTAAAACTGTGATTATAATACGGAAACATTTTATGTACACTGGGAGGAAATATATTATATAATAATGAAGCAAGAGTCTTTTATCTGTACCCCTTCATCCTTTGTTCTTTTCTTCTCGGAATATCAAAAGCAGGCAATTTTATATAATAATGAATCATTCTTCCTTTAAATAGTGTTGCGATGGATCGAACATTAATTGAAAAATGAGATTAGAATTAATAAAGCTTAAAAATTGTAAGAGAAATTGAGTGTTACAAGGGAAATTATGAAACTTCATTCTGAAAATTGATTAAATAATAATTAATGGTTTTGTATACTGTTTATATATGGATTTACTACAATACAGCAAAATTTTTCAATTTTCGTACGTGAAAAGTAATTTACTCCTGAATGTAGTTAATCTTTTTTTAAATTCATTGACAATTTTTGCTGCCTTTCCTGCCAATAATTGTAGAATATACTTATTATAATGTGCATTATAAAGGTAAATTTTTAAATTAAATTAACGAATCATTATTTTTATGTTATACTTTAGGTACTATTATTAACGATATTCGTCCCGATAGATTGTTTAAAATATCACACTATGCGATCATAGATCGTTGTCTCGGGGCTGACTCATCAGGGTGTCGTTTTGTGATTGTATTGTTTCACATTCTGACTGGTACCATGCCAACATCTTGACTTTAGAACAATACTCGTGTTTTCCAAGCGCGAACGAGTCGATCTATTGTTTCGGTTCACCACCTTACGACTGATAAAAGTAATTAAAAGGTGTCCAAATTATGACCAAAACGTTTCAATGTAATATCATTTTTGTATCGACACTCGATTTCCTTCTACTATCACTCAATAAAACAAATAGCTTTTAGATGAATATTGCTTTACAAATTAGACGTTTAATTTAATGTATTTATTTTGATTAATTTGGCCAAAAGTTTCTTCAGCAATCATACTTTCAAATGCACAATGAATTTCTATATAACACTACTTGTATCTGAATACTTAAATCTAACCCAAAACTAAAATATAAACTGAATATCTTGCGATCTTAACATTTCTTTTTAAATGCAATCATTAAATTAAAAGCTTTGGTATATTATGGGATATATTATAATTAATAAATCATACACTTACTAGTAATTACGTTTTGGACATAATTCTTTAAATAAATTCAAGTATGAAATTAAAAATTATGTTACTAAAATTTCAAGACATTAAGAGAAGCCTGACGAGGTTTCTCACGATTGACAAACCATTGCTCTGCCAAATGGAACAAATGTAAAATAATATAATAATGTAAAAATTACGACACATCACAACATATAACAATTGAAATTCTTCATAATCCAAAATAATGAATAATCGTCACTTTGTTTTTCGAGGTTGTAGATCTTCAGACAAAACTTTTATCAATAATTTATTGTTACTAACTACGATAATTCAACGCGTTGAAAAAACACACGTGGAACTGCGACGAAATATTGCAGCGTTATGGAAAAGAATGTACCTAGTGCAACTACCACTGCGTCGTATATTATTTTACGAAAGACAACTAAGAAGATAATACCACATATGTTATCATTTTTAATGTAAACGAAGTAATTATGTCCATACGAAACGTGGAGATTAGGGCTATATAAACCGATATAGGAACTGCACTAAGCGTGTCGCACCGTTCATACTTACTTCGAGCAAAGATGAAGCGCTTACTCTTGGTGGTCATTGCTATCTTTGCAACGGCAGTAAAATGTCAGAATTTTACGGAAGTCGTATACACGGAGAAAGGACCGATTCGAGGAGCCATTTTCAAGACTGTGTATAATAAGATGCCGTTTTCTGGATTTCTTGGGATCCCCTACGCGGAACCACCCCTAAGTAAACTCAGATTCGAGGTAAGACAAGACGTTGAATATGTCTGACAAACTTCTATGTGACTTATGTAATTGGTATGAGATGATTGCACAGCGAACAATTTAATTCTAAAACACTGAGGTATAATATTAAACTCAGCGTTTCAGTCAACCACTGAGCTCTCCTCAGGGTTAGAATCGTAGTACGCATATTTCATAATAGTAATGATAATGTAGTACACCATTTACAGATTTAATTCAAAATTAACTAAACTATATTGTCACGAAATTTACAATTTTTTTTGTGTCAAACACAGCCCCCTGTTGAAATTGGTTCCTGGAAGGAAGTGTTGAATACTACAGAGGATAATCGAGGGTGTCCACAGTTACAGTTTAGTTCATTTATTGGAAACGAAGACTGTCTATACTTGAACGTATACACACCAGCGGTAAGCCTTTGCATATAATATTAAGTCCCATAAGTTAACAGTCATAATTAGACCGCAGATCTTTATGCAAATTTATAGTTAATGAAACGAGAACTTTATAGACGGTTGTCTTTTACGTACTTTTTATATTTTTACACAGCAAGTGTATTCTGTATTTTGTTGAGAATTAAAATTTCCCATAAACGCATAAACATCCACGGTCTAGCTATAATCGAGGAACAAATGGTACAGATCTTTCTACATTTGCTATATCGTGAATGCAAATATTTCTTAAATTATTTGGCAGTTGGAATTCGGCAAGTTTCCCAAATTGAAACCTGTTGTTGTTTGGATTCACGGAGGTGGATTCACAACTGGTACCGGTGCTAAGAATGTATATGGACCTGACAGATTATTAGAGAAAGACCTTGTTACAGTGGCCATGAACTACCGTCTTGGTCCTTTTGGTATCGATACAAATTCTCTACTGCTATACAATGATTATCAATTCAGATAGAAACAATTTCTCATCAAATTTTACAGGATTTCTGTCATTGGGGATTCCTGGTGCAACAGGAAATCAAGGTTTGAAGGATCAGAATCTGGCTCTGCAATGGGTGCAAAAGAACATCGCCAAGTTCGGTGGTGATCCTAATCGTGTAACTATAATGGGTGAGAGCGCTGGTGCTGTATCGATGACGTATCACATGATATCGCCTAAATCGCGAGGTGAGAATGATCACCAAATTTTGATTAAGTCACAGTTAGCGAACAAGTTTAATTTGTCAGCTAACACTGAATCGTTTCGATCAGGTTTGTTCCATCAAGTCATAGTTCAAAGTGGTTCAGCTTTGGCTCCGTGGGGATACAAGTCGCCAACAGCGTCTAAATGGACTGCCTATGAGTTGGCTAAACGTATAAATATTACTGCTAAGACTGACTCTGATGTTCTGGCCGCTCTGAAAAAAGCTGATGTCAAGGCTCTTGTAACGGAAGCGACGAATATGACGAACGAAGAACTGCCGGTATGATTGCAGAAATTATATTCAGCTCAACGAGTCGAGTCAGTATATATATACAAATGCACGTGACAGACTTCATTTCTAAACATTAACAACTGATTAGCATTTGACAGCTGGAATCATTGTATTTGTCACGTGATTTGCAAACGAACGTTTTGTTTATCTACCCTGACTCGACTTGTGAAACACAGTATATATATTTTGAAAATTTCGTTAGATGACTCCCTGTCATTCCTCATATTCTGATTTCATTCACTTTTGAATTTTTTGTAATTTAATAATTAACGCAATCTATTACATATAGAATATGATTAGTAGCTAAAATTATAGATTTATCAAACTTGTGACATGAAGTCACCTCTCGTTAGACTTAAAGTTAAAGCCATAGAAAAACTATTACAATTGTTATAAAAAAATAAAACTTCATTATCCAAAGTAAGTATTAGCTTTAAATAGTATTAAAGAAATATACTTCCACAGTTTTTAAATTTCTATGATTAATGTATTCCTAGATATTTCTATAAAATTTTCTTTCACGCTTCTATTTTAATAGTTCTCAAAACTATTTATAGAAATACATTTAAAAATACTGCTTTCAAGCGTTATCGGAATAAAACCGTGTCGCTACATATCAGTTCAATCTTTACAGATTCCTCTGAGAATAGCATTCGTGCCTACGTCTGAAACCGGAGATGATGCCTTCATAGATGATTGTCCTTTATCGTACTTCCAATCTGGAAACTACAGTCGGGTGCCTACGTTGTTAGGTTACACTGCGGAAGAGACAATTTTGTACACGATAGGTAATGATACTTTTCATTCTTAGAATCCGTTTTCTTTTTTCATTTTTAAAGTCATGATCGATCAATACTACAGTATTCCCTCGCTAGTCGACTGAATCTCTTCCCGTTGAGAAGACGCGGAGTCATCCTCATTATTTTGATCCCTTTTCAATGAGAGATCCATCGATTTTAATCGCTCTCAAGTGTAAATTTAAGCTACTTGGACTTCAAAATGCTACCTCATAATTAGTAAGAAAAATAGTCCGGTTTGATCCATTTTCTTTTGTAAAAAGTCACGAATCAGTTAATACTACTTAATCAATGCAATTAATTTGCAAGGATCTTGGCCACTTTTCAACGGGAACTAATTATTTTTCTTTGGATGATAGGATTAGATAATGTACGTTACGAAGTGCAAGAGAAGTTACTGAGTCTTACTAAGGTACTAGATCCGACAGGCCACAATAATCTCGCCATAAACGTGGTTAACTCTATTTTGAACGACACTGTATGGGAGATCATAAAGGTATTTCAATTATTTCTTTGAGTTTTATTTAAACGTTTTTGCTTTAAATTCACTATGTTTCTTGACATTTCCAGGCTTCGTCTGTATACGACTTCTCCGGGCCAGTAGATCTCACGCAAAGATTTTTGACCAGGTACAATGATGCTGAACCTGCTTATTTCTATCGTCTGTCGTACAATACGAATCATAATTATCACAAAGTGGCGAATCCGCATATAAACGGTAACTATTTTCTTGAAGAAATTAATAACTGACCAGTTTTTATCCATCAGAACTTTATTAAAATCTTGATATTTACTGTTCTAGGTACGTCTCATGCTGACGATCTTCCTTTAATATTTTACTTCATCGGAGATTCCACAGATCCGTCGGATCCATACAATATATACTGCGATAGGGTCATTACGTTGTGGGCGAACTTCATAAAGTATGGGTGAGTAAATTTTAAGTTTGATAAGTATTGTAATTTATAATCTGTCGTTCGAATGAATCTATGCCCATTTGGTAAGCAATAAGACGGTTATTGTTTATTTTTTCTTATTATATATATGTAATATTGTCATTTTTATATGCACGACCATTATTATTATTATTGATTTAAAAATTTTTGTTTTGCCAACCTCACGATCAATTGCACTTGAGGAATGGTGTATATAAGTATGAAACAAATAAATAAGTTCATTATAAAAAATGTTTTAGTTCAGTTTTTAAATATTATCTTTGGTCTGAGGTAATATAAAATATATTGCAATAACATAATTATGTTCACAGAAATCCTACTCCGTCGATATCTAACCTGGACGGTACACACTGGCAACCATCAGGAGAGCAAGGATTGCAACTAGACATCGGTAACGAAAAATTTCTAATGCACGACCGGTTTATCGTTTCCCGAGACGCGTTGGTACAGCAAATCTATTACGATGGTTTACCTGTTACGACTCAGTGCAAGAATTATAACTTCAGCTCTCCGAGCGTGTACTAATTAAAAGAAACTGTCAGCAGGCATTGTCTTAACTCTAAAGAGTAGCAAAATACATTTTGCAAAAGAATTTATGCGCTTTGACAATATTGTAACTGCATTAAAAAAACTTGTGATATACCAGAGGAAGTATTTATAGATCCCAATGGTTTCTCTAGCGAAATACAAAACATCTAAAATAATATTTGTTAATCTTGTGATTACAGTGTAATAAAATTTTATGTATGTTATTGGAAATATATTAAATAATATTGAAGTACACATTGTGTTCGAATGTATATTTTATGTGAAAGGAGAGAGTCTTCAGTTTCTACTGTCTTAGAACAGTCTAACAGCGCGTATTAAAAATACTAAAACTTTAGACGCGTGTAGTTCCGAAGCTATTAGTGTTCTATTCATAACTGAGACATTGTTGGAAGCGGCAAACCTTCCCCTTTAACATGCTATTTGGTTTCTGTCGATCCGACTTTCCGTTTCGGAGATATCGCAATTTATGTAAATGGTCATTTTTCTTAATTCATCTATCGCTGTCTCCGTCTGACGCATCGCGCCGGACCTCTCTGTCTCGTACGTGACTCGTGACTATCGTAGCCCAGTGACCTAGTTACTACGAACGCGTGCCGGTCAACGACCTTGACAAGGCCGTAGTAAGAATGTAAACAAACGCTTCGGACCCTTATATTTCCGGAACTAGCCACCTCATCGACTCGAAATTAAAATCGCTATATCTCCGGAACTAATAGAGCTATCGACTTGTTCGAACGCTCGTTTTAAAGGGCATTTCATCCTCTATCCAATGACTATACCAGCTACTATAATTTTTGCTATCTTCTATGTTTATTTTGACATTTACTTTGGTGGTATATACCTAAAAAAGTTTCAACAATTCCTATTGATTATACGACTGGTGTGCGATAAAACTGGATCATAGATTGTTTCTTTAATTGAAAATGAATTTAAATTTGTATACAGAGTGTGTACCTAATTACTCTGCCGTTTTTTCTTAAATAATTGTTTTCTCTGGAATTAACTACGGTATCGATTTGAAAGGAAATTTGTTTTCAAGAACGTTTTATCTTTTATCCGATGAAAATTACTAATTTACTAATATTATTAAAGTATTAATGCACGTTTAGAGTAAAAGTATTGAATATTTTTGTACATGTTCTTAGAATTCAAAACACAACTTTCTATATATATGATTGTTACGTGCCAGGGCCGTGCAGCGCGCGTGGCCTGCGAGTGCAAGAGAGAGTATGGAATATGGTATCAATTCGTTAATTAGGTGCACGGACGAACCCGATGCAAGATCGGGGAGCCGCTAGGATAGTTGATAACGAGGACGAACCTGATGCGAAATCAGGGAGCCTCTAGGATGGAGTCACTTACGGACGAACCTGGTGCGAAACCAGGGAGCCGTAGGAGGGTGTAATGTCGTGAACGAACCCGATGCGTAATCGGGGAGTCACTAGGATGGTTAATAACGGCGCAGACGAACCCAATGCGAAATCGGGGAGCCGCTAGGAGGTTGGAACAAACGCAGACGAACTCGATGCGTAATCGAGGAGCTGCTGGGAGGTTGGATAAATCACAGACGAACCTGATGCGTAATCGGGGAGCTGTAGGATGCGGACGAACCTGGTGCGTAAGCAGGGAGCCGCTAGGATGGTATTAGATTGCGTGGACGAACTCGATGCGTAATCGAGGAGCCACTAGGTTGTAAGAATTTGTATTTGGATTAAGGATGTGTTAATTGACCTCGTAACTTCAATTATTAAATATAATATAACCCGAGCGGTAAGGTTATATTATTGTGGGAACGTTTAACTGACAATAATCGCTTTATATAATGATGGGTTAGAGAAGTTAAGTAACTCTGATTTAATAATGAAACTAGATATATTCTTAAAACAAACAAGAAAGATACAAGTGTTCTGTGTATGTTTGTCGCGTCCAAAGAATAATTATAAATACCTAAAATGTTGTTGCTCGGTGTTGACGCACTGGCGATGCGGGGGTAAGTCGGTTGAAGCTAAAGGCCGTAATAGAATTTATGCCGGTTCACGGATTCTATATGGTTTAATATTGATACGAAAGGGTACTGTAGCCCGATCTCACTAGATATAACTGACTATCAAAATCGTAGACGCGTAACGAGAGACGTGACGTTGACTCTAAACGTGACGATACGATTATGATCCCCCGAGTAATGAAGTCGCGGGGTTTATACAGGGTGTTCGGCCACCTCTAGCAAAAATTTTAATGAGCGATAGTAGAGGCCAAAATAAGACGAAAATCAAGAATACTAATTTGTTGATGGAAGCTTCGTTAAAAAGTTATTAACAATTAAATTCAAAAATTTCAAATCGTTCTGGAAAAATTATTTTCGGTTGCGGGGGTCAACTACAATCATTTTTGGTGAGTACACATACCTCCGAAATCCTATCTACTTTCGAGAAAAAAAATCGAGTACGTGCTGAAATTTTTCGGCGAAAAAAAATTTTTCAAATCGTTTTAAAAAAATTATTTTCGGTTGCGGGGATCAATTACAATCATTTTTTATCATTACACATACCTCCGAAATAGTACGCACTTTCGAGAAAAAAATTCCTTACTGAAAATCCAATTAGGTGCCTAAATTTTTCAACGGAGAAAAAAAATTGCAAATCGTTGTGGAAAAATTATTTTCGGTTGCGGGGGTCAATTACAATCAGTTTTTGTCATTAGACATACCCACGAAATCCTGCCCACTTTCGAGAAAAAAAATAGAGAAGGTGTGTAATTATTCGAGAAAATTAAAAAATTGCAAATCGTTGTGGAAAAATTATTTTCGGTTGTAGGGTTCAATTACAGTCATTTTTGGTGAATAGACATACCCCTGAAATCTTGCGCATTTTCGAGAAAAAAATTCAGTAAGAGCGGCACTTTAAACGTTAATAACTTTTTAACGAAACTTCCACCAACAAATTAGTATTCTTGATTTTCGTCTTATTTTGGCCTCTACTATCGCTCATTAAAATTTTTGCTAGAGGTGGCCGAACACCCTGTATACCCAAAAATCTGTGGGAGCGGATTCAAAAGTACGTTAGAAATTACCGCATTCGGTATTCTCCGAATTGTGTTAATTACCGGATTCGGTATTCTCCGAATTGTCTTAATTACCGGGCTACTGTATCTCGACGGAAGTGACCCCCATTCCAAAGGTTAGACACGTAGCAGGGCGATTTCCCAATGCACGCAAGTGACAAGAAAAATTTGAGGGACGAAACGTTCAGCGTACGTAACATGATGCAAAAATTAGAAGTACGTTGCCTCGTAAAAGAAAAAAAGAAAGACTGGTCATTTGACCAGTCATAGTAGGAATGGGTATATATAAAGGGTCGGTAGGTTTAATGTTAACGCGAAGGTTTATGTCATCGACTAGGTCATATTTCCAATGGAGCTCTCCCTAATAAGGGGGATAATATTTTCACATTTATCGTGGACGTCAGTTTTATATTTATCCCGAGAATGCTGTATTAAAACATCAAAACAGTCACCTGTTTTATGATTTTCTATTATTACATTTAATTTATCACTAAGAGTGATTTTGACTTTCTAACTGCTTTGATGAAACTACCAGTATGTTTCAGTGTTAAAACTAATTCAGTTTCTTTCAAAAATAAATTTACTATTTAGTTTTACAGTCCTTGAAGAATCGAGAATCGTCGAGAACATTTCTGACACGTGTCGTGGACGCGCGTGCATTCGACACGAGGCAGAAAAAAGGACGATCAGTAGCGCCTATGAAAACTTTCTATTAAAAAGACAAGGGAAAAATCTTATTCAAAATAAATAGTATTATAGGATTTTCAAGCTTTATAATTGCATTGATATCATTAAAGCAACTAAGGACTCGTGACACGATTTCCTGTTATTAGATTGATTTTTGCTTTTACAAGAATTATTATTTTCCCACGTGAAACAAATCTCAGACGTGGAATGAAAAACATTTTTCATGGCTTAAGGTTTGATCTGAACTTACTCGTGCACAGTGCATGAAAAGACCATCCACAAAAATACATAATCCTCGTATCGTTTCTCTAGACAGGAGCGTATGTTCGTTCCAAGTTTCCAGACGCCATGTTACTTTTATCAGTGATTTAGGTCTCGGTTATTACAATAATTCAATCCATTTTTACAGCACACGTCATGGTACAATGAAATATTGCAGTGGAATGATAGAAAAGAATGTAATGAATAATTCATAACTCCCATACTGCGTCGTATATTATTTCACGAAAGACAACCTTGTAGATAATATTACAAATATATTACCATTTCAAATTAAAACTACGTAAAAATATAGTCCAAGAACATGGATATTAGGACTATATAAGCAGGCGTAAAGACCGCAACAACCCTGTCACAACGTGCATACTTACTTCGAGCAAAGATGAAGTACTCACTCTTTGTGGTCATTGCTATATTCGCAACGGCAGTAAAATGTCAAAATTTCACGCAAGTTGTACAAACGGACAAAGGGCCAATTCGAGGGGTCATATTCAAGACGATATTTAATAAGAAAGAATATTCTGCCTTCATTTCCATTCCGTATGCGCAACCACCTGTAGGTGACCTCAGATTTAAGGTAAAACATAAAATAATGTACATTTCATGAATTTGTATGTGACTTATGTCGTTGGATTGGAAAGATTGAAAGAAAATAATTGTAAAACGTTGGTATATAATATTAAACCCAGCCTTTTACTTAACTGGCCCTCATTAGGGGTATGTAAATTAAATATATGAAGTACTTGTACAGTAGGAACGATAATGAAGTACAACATTGCATAGAGAATTTCTTGAGAATTGAATATACATAAGAAACCAATATACACGTTTTTATGAACTAATAAATTTTTACTGTATAGTTGATATTTGTATATGAGGTTGATAAATAATTAATTCTAATATCAATAAAAAAGTATAAACGTAATACAGAATCACATGTTACAAAATGCTTAATAATGTGTACTCAAACAAAGATAGTCGAACGAGACGATGAGTTTATTTTATTCTATAGATTGGGAATTGAGTCGTTTAAATTGGTCATTTCTATTCTACAAACAAGATGTTATTGCGATTATCTAAAATTGAGTACAAGATATTGTAATATTTTAATATAAGATTCATTATATTTCGATCTACCAAACTTAGCCCCCTGTGGAAGCAGAACCCTGGTCGGATGTGATGGATGCAACGGAGGATAAAGCAGAATGCCCACAAATGGACAAGGATGCAGTTGTTGGAAGTGAAGATTGTCTGTACTTGAACGTATATACGCCACTGGTGAGCCTTCTTTATATATTTCACTCGAAAATAAAAACATTGCATTCGAACACTAAATTACAAGTGGAATCAACATATTCGTGATATTCACTCAACCGAATTGTTAAATTTTAATCCGTTCATTATGAAGTATTTAATTCGATAATTTATATTGCAATGTGTATCGAGTAAGAACTAAGAAGTTATTAAATTGATTATTCGACAATTATTCCACAATGCTACCTCAACATTTTTAATGTTACGTCGTGCAGATCTTTTCAAAGGTACTAATCATTGTGCTTTTAATTAATTTGTTGACAGATGGATTTCAACGAGATTGAAACGTTGAAAGCGGTGTTAATTTGGGTACCCGGTGGTGGATTCACATCGGGATCCGGTGCTAAGAGTTTGTATGGTCCTGACTCGTTCATAGAGGAAGACGTCATCATGGTCGACATGAACTATCGTCTCAATGCTTTAGGTATCGATAGACTCCTCTACTGCTATACAATGATTATCAATTCAGATAGAAACAATTTCTCATCAAATTTTACAGGATTTCTGTCATTGGGGATCCCTGGTGCAACAGGAAATCAAGGTTTGAAGGATCAGAATCTGGTTATGCAATGGGTGCAAAAGAATATTGCCAAGTTCGGTGGGGATCCTAATCGTGTAGCTATAATGGGCGAGAGTGCTGGTGCCGCGTCAGTGTCTCATCACATAATATCACCTAAGTCACGAGGTGAGAATGCTCACAAAATTTTTATCAAGTCAGCGAACGATATCCTTTGCTTAGAGTATAACTGTCACCTCACGATGAATTTTTTCTTAGGTTTATTCCAGAAAGTCATAGTTCATAGTGGTTCTTCTTTGGCCCCGTGGGGATACAAGACACCAGCAGCGTCTAAATTTACTGCCTATGAGTTGGCTAAACGTATAAATATTACTGCTAAGAGCGACTCTGATCTTCTAGCCTCTCTGAAAGAAGTTGATATCAAGGATCTGATACCAGTAGCCACGGAAATGACCAACGAAAACTTGCCGGTATAATTGCAATAACTGCGTCAAGAACTTTACAACAATGCAATTTCTCGTAATAAATCTGCACTATTTATGTTGATGCTGCAAATGATTATTCGTGGTTCTTTTCTTTAAAGGAGTGTTTAACGATAATTCTTGCACTCGAAATAAATAACAGGTTCAATGAGATTCATGGAAATCTTTTGATGATATTGACATATTCAACGAAGATACTTTTACGTAATTAAGTTATCAACATTTTTGTATATTCTAAATTTTTCCCCACATCTTCTTATTATAACTTTTTCAATTTCAAAGGTACCGATGAGAATAGCGTTCGTACCTACGTCTGAAACCGAAGATGATGCCTTCATAGATGATTGCCCTATATCGTACTTCCAATCTGGAAACTATAATCACGTACCTATGATGTTCGGTTACACTGCGGAAGAAACAATTTTGTACTCAATAGGTAATGATACGTTTGATTGTTACAATCTGTTTTCTTTTCTAATTTTTAAAGTCATGATCGATCAATACTACAGTGTTCCCTCGCTAGTCGACTGAATCACTCCCCGTTGAAAAGACGCGGAGTCATTCTCGTTACTTTGATCCTTTTTCGACGTTAGATCTATTGATTCTAACTGCTCACAAGTGTAAATTTAAATTTGAACTTCAAACAGAATTCAAAAGAATTTTCGCTTCCTTTCAAGAAGAATTAATTATATTTTATTGCGCAACAGGATTGGATAATGAAAGATATGAGATAGAACAGAAGTTACTAGGTCTCACTAAGGTAGTAGATTTGACAGGTCACAATAATCTCATGATAAACATAGTTAACAATGTTTTGAACGACACTGTATGGGAGATCATAAAGGTATTTAAGCAGCTATTTGAATTTTATTTAAACATCTTCTAAATTTCTCATCCCATTTTTAGGCTTCATCTGTATACGTCTTCTCCGGACCAATGGATCTGATGCAAAGATTTGTGGCCAAGAACAACGGTGATCTACCTGTCTATTTCTTCAGAGTGTCGTACAGGACGAAATATAGTTACCACGAAACAGTGAATCCTCACATAAACGGTTACTATTTTGTATACTTGTCGTAAAAGTAGTTTCTTTGAAAAACGAATATCCTCGTTCCATTCTATTTATTCTTCGTATTTTATTTCAAATTAGAACTTTATGAAAACTTTGACATCTACTGTTTCAGGTACTTCTCACGCTGACGATCTGGTTTTCTTCTTCCCTATGCCAGGGAATCCCACCGATCCAAACCATCCGTTCGTTGTGTACTCAAAGAAAGTTGTCGCGATGTGGGCTAACTTCGTAAAATATGGGTAAGTGAACGTAGAATATATCGATTATTCTATATCAACGTTTTGTGTATCGATAGTGTAAAAACATCCTATATTATTATTTACAAAATTGCTACGCTTATTACATATACACTTGATGAATTATTATCCTTTTCTCTTTTTGTATGTACAATCTTGTCTATCACTATTGTTGGTATTTCAATTTTTGTAATCATATAAGCAATCATATAATTGTTGGTCACAATTAATTGTTGCTCCACTTAACATCTGTTTAAATTGTAACTCGCCATATGGTTCTTCTTAATATAAGATACTGTTATTGAAGTATAACAATTATGTTCACAGGAACCCTACGCCTGATGATTCGGTCGGTGCACGTTGGGAACCTTCAGGGGAGCAGGGATTGCAAATGGATATCGGAAACGATGGATTCATAATGAAAGATCGTTTTATAGTCTCGCGGGATGCCGAGGTTATGGAGACGTATTATGCTGGTTTACCTGTTACGTCTGAATGCAAGAATTATCCCTTTGGCGCTCCAAGCATATACTAATCGAAACAAGCAACCAGCAAGATACTCTCTTAACTCTGAACAGCAGCACGAGATTTTTTCAAAAATATTCTTTCATTTCGTCGACATTAAAAGCAGCTCTATTAGATCGAATGATGCAATAGCAGAGGTATTATGGTCCCACAGAGGAAAGTCCTCTATTTGTTGAAATTGTATATTGTAACAAAAGCCATGAAGTATTCTCTATTTTGAAGCTTTTATTGTACTTGTTAATATTATGAAATTTGCAGACTTTAATGAAAATATATTACACAATAATGAAAAAAGTGTTTCTTAGCTATTCCCCTTCAACACCTTCTCCTCATTTTATTAGGAATTTAAAAAGGTACTGAATACTCTCGTTAACGTTAAATGATTTCAAGAGTGGAGTGAAATAAACAATAGCGCGGTTTCTAGTGCGGCACCACTGTAATTGAGGGTTTAAGAAATAAATTATAAACTTCTGAGACGACAGGGGGAGGCAAGATGCGAAGCACGAATGCGTGGATATGGAAACAATGGGAATGAAGAATGGAGATGGGCGTAACCAAGAATACGTTAACTGGAAAGGAAAGATAAACGATGAAAGTGCAATATTTAGAGAACTAGAAGTAGAAATGTGATTAGAATATTCCCAAAAATTTTCGAGACCATTAATATAATGCATATCATAAATATTTTAAACTGTAGAAACGCAATTATTATATTTGTGAATAAAACTACGGACTTTTGAAATAATCTGGTTTCCCGTCAGAATATTACGAACTGATTTTCATTATTGGAACTGAATCCATAATAAAAGGTGTAAAATTGTATGGAAAAGTTTGAAGGTAACTTTTTTGAATATTATGGACCTATAACCTATAACCATCCTCTGCTTTATACGAGAATTTAATTACACTGGGATTTGCGTCCCATGAGCCTGGTTTATGTTTTACCCTGTTTAAGTAATCAATATTGACGTCGAAATGTTGATGTGCGTCCTTTCCCGCCATTGCAACCGGAAGATTGCTACCAAACTGCCGGTATACGTCGTTCAATAATAAAACGAATACCTAGATTTGTAATAAGCAAACAGGAACCTCGTTTGAAATCCAAACATTTTCCAAAGATAAAGAACTGTTCCTTAAAATCGTTACTCAAACAGGAGTTATCGTTAACGGAAGTTAGAATAAGACGTGCAAGTATCGTATCTACGAATAATATTTTGTTGAAAAGATGCAAATGGACAGCAAATTTTACACATAGGCCTTTGAATATGTATTATGAATGTTCAAAACGCGAGCACCTAACAAGGGAATATTGCGAACTGTCAGACGCGAAATTTTATGAAAATGCAACGTTCATTGGACCAATCTAAAAAACATTCCGTGTTTCAGGGCTGCTACTTTTTTAAGGAAGCATTTAAGGTAGAAACAACCCTTTGTATTAAAGCCACCCATTCTGTGTGTGGTTTTTATATATGAAGATATTGGAAAGTATTTGAAATTCATTTTAGAGAGAAGTTTTAGTTAGATTAGAATGATTGATATCGACAAACAAAAATAATAAGAACTTGATATAGATGACGTGTGAGTTAATGTCAACAATCAAAAATAATAAGAACTTGACAAAGATGACGTGTGAGTCAATATCAACAAAGCAAAATAATAAGATCTTGGTATGAATGACGTGCGAGTAAAAATCGTCTAAAAATTTTAGGATCAAAATACAACAGATGAAATTACAATTTCATTTATATCGAAGAGAAGATTTGCTTTAAGCAGCAGCTGTTTCAGTTACATGGTTGAACAACGCTCGAGTCGCTGTCGGTTCCCAAAATTTCGTGAACTCTATATGGAGATTGAAGCAATATTTTTCTTGAACCAGCGCGGGAAAAACAAAGTGGCGGACCATACGGTCGGATAAGCGACGCCCGGCGTAATAACGCCGAGACGAGACCCAAGAGGTCTCGGGAGCCGGAGTTCAGCGTAAAAATGAATTCTATTCACATTTCTAAGTAATCTTTTCACTTCTCTCTTTGTCCGAGTCTCGTCTAACGGAGCACTATGAATCACTTTCACGGCGAAATTCTGAATTATTAAATTCCGGGGGCGTAATTCCTTTGAAGTAATTAAAACCGTAGCTTTTTCTCGTTCCCTGTCGTTTCTCGTCTGTGAAAAAGGATCAACGAGAAATTCTAACAATGCTCGTCTATTTTTTAATACCGAGTCCCACTTTTGTCACAAAGTTCGCCGCGGTCGCACGGGACTACGCTCGAAAGAATTCCTTTTCCACTCAAAGTTACGCGTGCTTATCGCGCTGTGTTTTCGTGCATAGTACTCGTTAGGCCGCGACTCATGCCCGAACATATTGTAATCTATAGCTTGACTCGTCGAAACGAAGCGTAGCAAGAAATTTCAAAAGTATTATAATTAAGTAGTTGATCGAGATGAGAGAGGCCCGTTAATCGCATGAAATCTAAAAATGTCTAAACCAAACTAAACCAAAAGTGCATAAGAGTATATATAATAAGAACTAGAGCTCTATAAGCATAGAGCATATATAATAAGTATAGAAAACGTCCATCCATGTTGCAGTTTGTGATTACTCTTGTTATTTTTTGATACTAAATGAAAATTTGTCCAATTTTGTTGTCATTTACTTTGAATAGAAGCCCCTTTAGTTTCCCACGAGTAAATTTCATCAAAGACTTTCTTGCAGGGGTTGTAATTTAGAAAATCTAGTATGACAATGTATAAAGTTATCTTCTTAACCTCTACATACATGAGAATAGTCATAACAGAACTCTAAGTCCTGATACGTAGATGGCTAACTGCGGAGTCAGTCTAGTTTTGGAAGTATGCATCGCCTGGAAATAACGCAGATATCGTTGGATCTGGTACAGGCTCCAGGCGATCCCCCGTTTGTTCTCAGCTCTTGACACTCGAAAAGGACCTCCGAATTACGAACAGACACGTTCCAAATGCTCATTTCGCGATCTCTGCCATCCCTACAGGCGACAATGGTTTTTGTTCCCGCCCCTGTTTATGCACCTAGATAATTTCCCCCTTATCTTGCTCTGGGGTGAGCGATGAAGCGAGGTCAAACATCGGTAATAGACACCGCATTTGACAATGTACGCAACAACACGTAGTCGCAATTAATGATGATCGATGTTCGTCATGTACCACCGTTCGTACGATATATTCGGTTACCAACCCTGGTTTATTATTGTTTGCCACTGCGATCGAATCAACTTTCGCACGACTGTTACCGAAGATCGCGATTTCACCCTTATTTTTCAAGTTAACAGATGCACGTGCAAAAACGATTACACTAATTTGAAGATTCGAGCAAGTTTTACCTACTCTTTGGTGCAACTTAGATATGTATATTTGACCATCGAAGGAAGCAAAGTCTCGCAGGAGAGCTACGAGGCACCGGAGACTATTCAAAAATTCCAACTGCAATTTATTGGCCCGTTCCGTGCATACATAATCACGGGGAGAGAAATGTTAGCAATATAGAACTTAGGACCAAGATTCCTGAATTAGAAACTTCACAGAAGTTTGGACATCTACTTGAAACGCGTAGCAGAGAAGCAGCCGAAGGAACTTTGTATCTGGTAACTTTGAATAATCTATTAATAAGGGGCCCTGAACTTGTTTCCACCGTAACCTTATGATTACGATTTTAACATCGTTATTACCGTCGAAGTACAGTATCACTGCTACCTGTTACAAATATTTCACCCGATTAATTTATCTCGTTTCGTCGCTGTTCGAAACTCGGTTTGCCTACGCGACAGTTTCTGATAGACTTGCCTCGACGGTTAAGCAGGAGAGTGGTCTTGAATTTTTCAATGCGCCCATCGAAACTTATGTTTGCAGATTACTTGGAAAATGCACTCTCCCCCCGGGGGAATATGTAGGAGTAGTGTTTTTCGAGACTTTCTGAAGTGTAATTAAAACTTCTCGGCGCTTCAGGCCTCGTACGCTACGGATTTTTTTAGTTTAATTCGCCTGGCGATCGTTGGAGCAAGTAATCAGCGAGTAGTTCGTCGTTGCTTTATCGTATCGGTAACACCAAATCGAACATAGGTTAAAAGGAAAGTTAGGGTAGCCACAAAAACGAACGACGGTTTACGGAGTCTGATCATGCGCTGAGCTTTACTACTGAAATCTCCGACTACAGCGTTACACGTACGTACACGCGCGTATAAATTACCCGACGCCCATACATCCGTGTTCGAGGCAAAACCACTAACTCCAACGACGTGAATTACACCGTCCATAAATATCACGGATGATTTGCGAATTTATTTTCAGTTTTATTTACCGATCCCGCGCCGGGAAACGCGAGCCTCTTCGCGTTTTCATTCAGCGCTCGGTTAATTGAAATGAATTTATTCAACGCTGGCAGCGAGACTCGCGTCGAAATCGGATTCCTAGAATTAAGTCGTACAATTGCGTAAAACATCCGTCGAAAGTTGCTCTCTCAAGAAAAATAAAACGCGACGTGGACGTAGTCGATGAAAAGCGTATTTGATTCTATTCAGAAGTAAACAGCTTGTTCGCAAGACGTTTTCGATTCATATTTTTAACAAAATGGAAAATTATACGGGATGTATATTCATTACAGAGTATTTCAAAATGAATCTTTGTTGTTGTCGAAGTTATTCGAAGTTATCAACGACAGCATGATCTACCGAACAATAAAAATAACTGTAACTTGCTGGAACGGTAACCAGACCATACGAGAAACACGTGTTTTCGTTGCAAAAGTTAACGCGCATTGGATTATGAACAAGTAACGCGGTTAACTCCACGATGTCTTAAACTTAGAGGTCAAAGAACGAATGCTTCGGGCTGTTCTTAACTTTCCGCCGAAACTTACAGGATCGAATTCGATAAACAATAAACTTCGTAAGGCGCACATAAACTTTCAACGTTCGAGAACACGAGTGGAAAATACTACGAGGTGCATTTCGAAAAAGTGGTTCCTCACCGATTTTAATATTGGAACTACCGACAATTATGGTGTATTTACTTGTATCAAAAAAGTTAAAAAGATAGATACTTGAAGAAATGTATCTAGTTTAGTAACTTTTTTACAATTTTTATTAGATATTACGAGTTACTTTGACCACTTCGGTAGTTCTAGTGATAATAATTTTGAAGTATAAAACATTGCATTTTAACAATGTAGTGTTCCAAAGCTAATCCTGGAATTTCGAATCGCTTGAATCTGTAAAATTTCGTAAAAGACTCAACGAATATCATTGCAACA